AAATGATTAGTTCTTTCAGTAGAATGGTGCCTTACCAGTGGGATTAATAACCTTATAAAAGGCATACAGAAATCTCTCTTTCCTCTTCCACCATGTGGGAACACAGCAAAGAGGCACCATCTTTGAAGCAGAGAGCAGCTCTCACTAGGTGGACTCTGCTGATACTTGGATCTTGGATTTCCAGTCTGCAACACTGAGAAATAAATCTGTTGTTTATAAATTATGTTTATAGTTATGCCATTTTGTTACAGCAACTCCAATAGACTAAGACAATGAACTGTGCTGATTTTCTTGGCTGCTATTACAAGGACCACAGAATGGGTGGATTAAACAATAGAAATGTATTGTCTCATAGCTCTGGAGGTGACCTCTGAGATTAAGGAAAGTTTGCCTCACCTGGGGCCATGAGGGAAGGGTCTGTTCCAGGCCACTCCCCTAGGCATGTGGATGGCCAGTTTCCCCAGACATTTTCATCATCTTTCCTGCATGTGCACAACTGTATCCAAGTCCTCCTTCTCCTAAGGATCCCAGGCACATTGGATTAGTACCTACACTGCTGATTGCATATTTATTCATCATCTACACAGTCCTCATTTCCAAATAAGATCACATTCACAGGTGGTGACAGTGAAGACATCAACATTTTTTGGGTGACACAATTCAGCCCATACCAGAAAGATTTATAATAATCTTCCATTCAATTTTTCCACTGCACATGGTAGTACCACACAGTACTCTCCATTTCTTACCCATTTTTCCTTAATAGCTAGTCACTCCATGCTGCCTGCTTGTGGAAGAGCCGGGGGAGCCTTGCAGACATTTGACGAGTATTAGAGAAACTGTCGTTGCTCCCATTTGGAAGGCCTTGCCTTTGGTACTAAAGTTCTGGAGGCCCTCGAGATTCAGGGTGGAATCAGCCATCCTGAGGATGTTTTACAGGTGTAATTGCATGAAGAATCACTCTCTCTTGATTCTAGGAGCCATAGTCATGACTTGGAGCATTTTCTTCATGACTGCAGCCTACAGGATACAGTTCAAGTTGCCACATCCCATTAAACTATACTCCGGTGTCTTCTATCCTTTATCCATCTCAGCAGTGAAAACATTAGTGGTGACCAGTGTGCTGTTTAAGGAACCACAACTTGGCCAGTTCAGTTCATTACATGGACTCAGATGACAAAATGTTCCAGATAGTAGAGAGAGTTAGGTCAGCCAACCTAAGGAGGCCTGGAAATCGTTCTCTAGCTTCATGTGTTTTTGGAGTGCTTCAAAAGCCCTTAGAACAGTGGACTTTATAGTCACGTCCCTCAGGAAGTGGGGTCTCAGACTTTATTAAAGAGATCCAGTGTAATTATTTATTTCTAGGTGCTTCCCCAAAGCCTTATGTACACATAAGTGGGGCTTTTGGAAGGTGATTGGATCCTAGAGGCATGACACTAGTGGATTAGAGACAGGGACACATTATGGGTATATAGCTAAAAAAAACATGATGCTGGGAGGATGTGTGTCACTGAGGATGTGACCTCAAAGCTTGTATTTCCCTCCCTCCTTCCTTGATTGCTCTCTGCTTCCTCCTCACCATGCCCTGAGCAATTCTTTATGATGCTCTTCTGCCATGCTCACCTGCTACAGAGCCAGCTGACTATGGACTGAAATTTCTACAAACTTTGAGCCAAAATAAACACTTCCTTTAAGTTGTGAGTGTCAAGTATGGTGTCTCAGCAAAGAGAAAGTAAATAAGACACCAGACTTGAGACACCAGGCACCCGGGCTCAGGCCCCTTGACTTGCTGCTGTTACAGTTTCTTATGACTCTCATGGTCCTAAGTCATGCTGCCTTTCCCACACCTGGGACCTGGTTCTGATTACCATCTCATTTCCTCTTTCCTCTGAAGCTCCTTTAGCATACAACACATAGATATTGTGTATGCAAGAGACTTTTACTTGATGTGCTTGGCCATATCACAGCAAAGACTGTGGCAACCCAAACTTAGGCATTAGAAAATATTCCTCCAAATTCATGTTATTTTACAAGGTAGAAGAAGCACTCCCAAACTCCAGGCCAGACCAATCTCTAGGCCTAAAAATTTCACTAACAAATGTTCCTTCTCAATAAGGAAGAGATCACCCCAAGATTGCTTATTTGTCGAATCACCTAAGAATGTTTAAGCAACTCGTTACTTTTTGTTTAAACAAGTTTCAATTTTCTGAAAAAACATATATAGTACACAGACCCTAAGATGACCACAGTTCTCAATAAGATGAGCAATTCTCACCATACGAAGCCTGGAATTGCTTACCAATTATCAGAATATTAGACTGTACTGTATTTGATACATCTACTAAGTAAATCAGGATTTTTAAAAAACTACTGTGTTTATACACAAAAAATCCACCAATTAATTGTCCTTGGACACATCAGAAAAAATTAGAAGAATAAATAAATCTTAAACTATGGGTTTTTAAAACCACCATCAATTGTTAGAGGAAATTGGGGTTTTGAGCAATGGCGTGCTTACACTTGCAGCTGACACCAAGGAGAGTGAGGGCATCCCGGGACAGTGTGTTCTTGTGTACCATGTCACAGGCGAAGCTGTGGTGGGGATGGGGTGGTGACTGCTAGGCTGTGCCTGGGCCATGATGAGGGTGTTCTGTACGGAGTTAGAAGGCGAGGCAGTGCTTTCCGGCATCCACCTTAAGCCCCTGGCCCTTTCTCTGTCTTACTCATGTGAAACCACAGCTCACTCATGTTGGATTCAATTCTCTTCCTACTCAGCAATTACACCTGCAGACTGAATATATCTAGAGAAAGACAGCAAGTGGTCATGGCGACCATCTCTCTGTGTGTCCCTGTGGCTTGCCCATGCTGCTGGCTGTGGCAGACCTCCAGACCATTCTTTCTCTTCTCCCTAAGTGTTGGTTTTATTCCATGTCCTCTCTTCTCAAAATGATGACACCCGTTGCTGTCTGCATTCACAGCTGATGCCCTGGCTCCTGCCTTGCTTGAGGAGGTTAGAACTTTTAGAAAGGCACCATTGTGAGCCTACAGCTCTTCCAGTCCCTGGCTGCTGAATCTGTGGACTTAGCCTTCTCCCTGAACCCTGCTTACCACACAGCCCTGTCTCCAGAGGAGGCTGTGCTCCGTCCAAGCTTCCTTGGGTTTCTAGGGGATTCAGATCAAATTCCCTTTCCTTCTCCTGCAGAGTCAGCAGCATCTGCCCTTGCCTGGATCATTCTCCCCACTGTGTGAACCCTGCTGATTTCTCCTGTCTTCAAATATTTGTTGTCTCTGGCGGTTATCTGTTCCTCTGTTTCTCCTCTGGCAGACTCCTTGTGGAGTCCTTTTATTCCTTTCCCAGCCAGGTTGGTTCCCACAGCACTACACAAAAACTGGGTCAAGATCACAACAGTCTCTGAACTGCTAGCTCCAGGGGCTAATTTTCAGTCTTGTGTGAGGTGAGCTGGGGCAGCACTGACCTTGGGTTGTTGTCTCCTCCTGGACACAGCCCTCTTGTTGGTCCACACCCTATCTTTGTTGATCCCATCCATCTACGCCACCTGCACTGAGGCAGTCTCTGAAGTGTCTCCCATTTCTCATTGTGAATGACTTCTTGACCCCCAACCCACCCCAACCCTGTCTCTCCTGCCATGTTTCCTGATGTTCCAACCTCACATTGCCTGGGCCACACACTCAGCGGCATCCTTCTTGCCTCTCTTTTCTCACATCCAGCCTTCCAGTAAACCTCCTTGACTTATCTCCATATATGCCCATTCTTCCCTGAGTGGCATTGCATTCTACCTTCAGCCATTCTCAGCACTGCTACAGAGGGATCCCTTTAAAACACAAGTTACGCAGTGTCACTCAAGACCTCCAAGGCTTCCCGACTGCCGTGGAGCAGAAGGTGACATCCTGATGAGGGCTGTGAGGCCCCAGAATCTCCTGCCATCTCTTTTCTGCTTTCACTCCCAGCTCACCCCAGCCTTACCCCTTCCTGTCCTCTGAGCATGCCAGGAAGAATCCTACCTCAAGGACACTGCCTTTGCTGTTCCTTTGTCCTGAAAATCTTATCCCCTAAAGGAACACGTGGCTCCCTCCCTCCCCTCTCTCCGGTTCTGTTTAAATGCCACGGTCTCAGTGAAGCCTTCCCTGTTCACTCAGATTAAAATTGCCACGGCCTCTCCAGCCCCAGCCTAATTTCCTCTTTGGCATTTATCACCATCTGCCATATGATGTTATCTTTTTCTCTATTTTGTTTGCTATATCTCATGACCATCATGTAAATTTATGAGGTCAGGGATTTTATGTTTCATTCACTGCTACTTCCATAGTTCCTTGAGCAATACCCAGTACATGGTAAGTGTTTAATAGGTGTTTGCTGAAGAACCGAATAAGGTAGGGTGTAAGGAGGAACTAGAAGATGTAGGTCTTATTTGCTAGATCTATGACTCTGTTTATCCTACTGTGGAACAAATTATTTAACATCTTCATGTGCCTGTTTCTTCCCATATTAAATCAGGGGTAATAATATCTACTTTGTTAGTGTTGTGGGTTAAAATTAAATGAAATAACAAACCTGAAGCTTCAAACACAAACTTAACACAACAGTTCTACTTAGAATCCTAAGAAACAGGAGAGAGCAGGGCTGACCAGGGTGCATAATCCCCTCCACCCTCCTCAGCATGAGTGTTTTCCACTGAGAGCCAATTTAGAGCTTTCCTTGGGGGATTTGTAGCTTGACTAATGCTTTTTGGTGTTTTTCTTTTAAAAATAGTAAATGACTAGTTGATTATAAATATCATTAGGTATTGTGTGGAGCTTTACAAAGAACTTTATGATCATGTAATTAGCTTGTAATTTCCAAGAAGAATCAGGAAATACTCCACAGATTAATAATTCTGAAACAAAAAATTTGCATCTAAAATTGAAATTATCAAGTGACCTAGTTACATAAGTTTGCTCTCCTTCCTCCACCTTATTTGTTACTTTTACGTGATCTAAAGTGTGCAGGAGGAATAAAATTTGTGGTGAGGCAGTTTACCACACTGGCCTCCAGGAGGGTGAAGAAAGAGCACGCATCCGCGTGGGAAGGAGCTGTGCAGTGACCCTGAGAACATCGGAGGGACCTACGCCTGCGCCGTCTAATCCACACGAAGAGGGTCTGTGTCTTCACCCTGGTGACAGGAATCTGAAATTTAAGAGAAAAACTCTGTGACCTCTGGCTTGTGCCGTGAAGCAGAAATCTACTTCTTTGTTGGTAAGTTTTTGTTTCGTCTTGCAATTTAGAAAAAAATATTTTTTGGTACTGGGGATCGAACTCGGGTCCTTGTGCTTGCAAGGCAGGTGGCAGAGTCACTGATCTAAATCCCTGGCCCAGAAATATTGTATTTCTATTGTAATTATAAATTATATGCTTTGAAGGTAAAAGAATATTGCTGAAGTTTACATCACCGAAGCTGATTTAGATTGGACACTTACTTATTTTCATTCCTTTGGTCATGCCATGGAGAGAGAGAAAAAACCCACTTTTGCTGAGTCTGTTGTATGACATGCACTATTCTAGAGGCTTTGTGCATGCCATTTTATGTAATTGTAATGATAATACTATTTTATTTTATTTTCTTCTTTTATTGAGTTTATTGGTACATGTTAGGTATACAGTACAATTATGTTCATTATTGGGATCCTGTACCTTTACATGACAGGTCTTGGTTCTCATTTTTTTCCCCTTGTCCATTCCCTCCCTTCATCCTCTCCTCTCCTCCCCATTTACAAACATTTTATTTCCATTTTTTCATTTTCTCATATTTTTTCTTTTCCCTTATTACCTTTCCCCTATACTTCCCATTTTCCCTACACCTTTAGCCCTTTTCTTCCTATTTCACATGGTCAATTGAGGATACTCCTAAGGGAAATAGATAAGTCACTCTTGTGTAAATACTGAATAGTTTCTCTGGTGTGAAAAACTATAATAGTACATAAGATCCTAATGATATAATTGACCATGTGAAATAGGACAATACTATTTTAAAGGGTTAGAGAGATAAAGTTATATTCTCAGTGTGTGACAGTGGAGGAAACTAAGTCAGAGTCTGTCTGTGCTCTCCCTAACTCACTTAGACATTGACTATGATCTTTACCACACTTGGAGCCAGCCCTTGCTAAGAATGATGGGAATATTTGCAAAGAATCTAATTGACAATATAGCTATCTCTCAAGGCATCTCTCCTAGAGTAAGTAGAGGAAAAACTGCAGCTTCTACAAATGCAAACCAAACACTTTTCATGCCGGTTCTGCAGCTGGGCAGCAGAGCCAGGCTCTGGGTGGTCCACAGACAGAGAAGAGCAACACAGCCTTGGGTGGAGAGATTGGAGAGCCACAGAGGGCTCATAAATGGGCAGAGGAGGCAGGAGGGAGAAATGAGTAATCTTGGAGTCAGCTGCAGGGAATGGACAAATCTGTCTGAGGACACAAATCCATGAACCTACTTATGAGTCTGCTCAAAAAAATGCACTATGGGGCCGGGGATTTAGCTCAGTGGTTCTGCTGTCTGCCTTGCAAGCACAAGGACCTGAGTTGATCTCTGGTACAAAAAAAAAAAAAAAAAAAAAAAAAAAAAAAAAAGCATGATAGAGGATATTCTCTTAACACCATCTTCCAAGTGAAAGTGACACATGGGTGGAATCAGTTTTACTATTGGGGGTTCATGTATTTTTGTTATTCCCTTTATATGATGATAGCAGAGGAATTTGCTTTAAAATTGCATAATGTCTTCTGAGTCTTCACTTACCTGGAGATATCCTACCTAACAATATCTTCCTCTAAGATAAACTGAGAAAGAGGAAATGAGCAGAAAAGAGACTGCAGCCAAAATAGAGACCACAAGCCCATGCCCTTAGTCCTATGTGCCTCTCCCAGGGGACACCCTCAGGTGCACCTTTAGAGGCACTGACTCCTATTTTGGGCACAGTTCTGATAAATAGGACTGTCTGGTTTCCCAGCACAGAGCTTTTAGAAACAGAAGGTTAGAAGTGGAGCTGTCAACTACTGTGGTCAACATGGCAGAAGTAATGAGGCACAGTAGAGCTGGGGCTCCTGTCGGAGGCTGGGGTGGAAACCCTCAAATACACTAAGTATGACTCTGTGTGGCCTCTGCATACCAAAGCAAGTAGTCCTGAGGCTCTGAAGGCTTCAGTGTGGAAGCTGATGCTTTTCTGCCCATGAGAAAATCACACAGCCATACGGTGGCCAAGAAGGACCACCAGGCCGGCTGGACCCTGGGATTTTCCTAAGTGACCTGGAACCACATCACAGGTTAGAGAACCACTTTCATTCATCAAGTCTCACATCCCCCCACCCCCCTGTTAAGTTTATTGATACATTTAAAGCGAACAATACAGTTACATTTATCATTGGGATCTTGTACCTTTACATGATATGCCTTGGTTCTTATTTTTTCCCCTTACCCCTGCCCTCCCTTCACCCACTTCACAAGTCTCATATTTTAAAATGTTTAAAATGATCAACTTCTGTTGAGAGTTAATTTGAACAGCCTTCCTTAAACACTAACGTTTCTCACTACCGTGTCACTATGTAAGACACATCAAGCTGCGGGGCATTAGCAGAGCTCGGGGAGAGGGTGGTGAGGCACAGATTTCAAAATGTTTTTATTGGTGAATGTTGGCAATGTATCATAGTTACATTCATTTTGGAAGATTGATGCATGTTTATAGTGTATCTTGATCATTTTCAATCCCTTTACTCCCTTTTTACCCTCCTGCCTCCTCCTGACCCTCCTCTTCATTTCCAATAAGTCTATTTTTTTTTTCTCGTACCAGGGATCAAACTCAGGACCTTGCATTGTAAGACAGGCTCACATCACCACTGAGCTGAGGCCCAACAAGTCTATCTGTTTATTTGATGCCTTTGTTTTCTGTTTTCTTTATTTTCACCTTTGTTTTACTGTTTCATTTATTTATTTATCCTTTGGGTTTCTAACATAAGAGAAACCATACTTTCTGTATTTGACTTATTGCAGTTAACATTATGGTCTCAAGTTCCATCCCTTTTCCTGCCAAGAGGATTTTATATTGGAGAGGACTGAGTGTGCCTGCAATACATATGCCCTTTTTACTTTTAAAGAGATATTTTTATCTGAGAGTCTTCAGAGGGTGATGTTGCATATATGAAGAAAGACAAGGCAGCAAAGGAAGAAGAAAGAGCAGGTGGAAGGAGAGATTTGCAGCATAGAAGCAAAGAGGGATCTGGGGACCTGAGCAGAGCTGTGCAGATGGGGCAGGTGCTAGCCAGGACTGGGGCAGGGCCAGCTGGACATGACCTGGGATGAGTAAAATCTCATCACAGCATTCACCTTTCAACATCATCCAGAGGTACTTTGAGGCCAGGCAGACCAGACAGTCTTCCTGTAGGTGTTGACACCTCAACCAAAGGGACGCACCCATTCATGTTAGGTGGGGACTGCTGCAGTGGGGTGTAAACTTTGCTCTCTCGTGCAGAGGTAAGGCCCCTTCCTACCCCAGACTGTGTGCAACTGGTGAAACTAGCCGGTCTCTCTGTCATCACCATTACCTCACCTTATCCTTTTTCCTTTCTGTAGCAGCTTTAAAGTCAGCCTGCCCTTTCCTGTCACAGAATGGAGGTGATGAGTCAGTGAACCTGAGTCGCTGAGCAAGGCCATCTGTGTTCCCTTGGAGCCCCAGTCCCTTTGTTTGGCCACCTCTCTGATTAGGAACTGAGATGATGTCTGTACAGATTCCAGGAAGGGGATTTAGACACAACTTCTATATGTGCTTATCCAACATCAGAATCCTTCACTTGGACGCCCCAATGTAAAAAGAATGTATGGCTTTCAGATCTTTCTGGTAGATAAACAGACATTTTGGCAAATCTAAAAATCACTGCCTTGTGTGTATGGTTAAAGAAATATGCAATCAGCCAGTGTGGGTCTCTTTGTTTGCTTGAATCTTTCTGAATCTGCAAGGTAGGTTGACCTTATTACACAGTCCCACCCACACCCAGGGCTGAACGCTGGCTGCAAGGTGTCCTCCACGTGGCTCACCTCAGATAAAGGCTAGCAGGGCAGAGGATGTGCATGCCCTGCTGTCTTGATTCAGCAGAACAGGGGAAGAGGCCTCTGTAACTCTCGTTCTGAGCTAACCCATCTTTCTGGCATAAATCGATCATGCCCTTAGGGAATTGCGATATTTTAAAGTCAGCCTGAGGATAGCCGGTTCCACTGGAACCAGGATTATCTCCTAGGTCAGGGATTGTCTCATCAGCTCTGGGTCTCCAGTGGTTCCACTTCCCCATATCTAAGTTGAGTCTCAAGTCCAGCTATGCAGCATCCTTTCCACCACTTCCTGACTCTGACTTGAGGGGAAATGCATGTCCCCTGTTCTGGGAACTGATAGGGAAGAGGCTATGGTACAAAGCACTGGGGTGTGAGTGGGACCCGGGACATCACATAGTACTACTCTTCCTAGGCTTAGGCATCAGCAATGTGGTGACAGTCAGTTAGTCCCTGATCACTGTACAGTCAACTGGCTGCATTATTAAACATGTGGAAAGCATGGAGACACAGTTATAAGCCACATTTCCTAACTTCATATCTCCCCAAACAACATCATGGTCACTTACTTAGTGAATTTGTTCCCAGGCTGTATTCAGGAATGGGCTTGTTATCATTTTTACCTTTATTTATACATCTTGGTAAGAACACAGCAGTGTTTAGAATACGATAGTCAGAGAAGATAAATTCAAGACCTCAAAGGACATTTTCCCAAGGGGCTGCTGTCTCACTTTCAAGTTCCTTATCTTCCTGTTTTAATTATAAGGAGAACAATGGTTGGTGGAATGGAATCCATCTTCAAGACAGTATCTGTGATAAAATGGGACCCAGCATAGGATGCCAGCCAGGGGGAGGCAGTGTGGTCTCTTCATCTAGGAACACACTTGAAAGTACAGCTGTCAAAGGTTTTCAGAAAGGAGCACTCTAGATGGTTATGGTTGAAATCTAAAATGTCCCTTTCACGTGGTGAAAGGTCCTGAGTTACTGATAATCCCAGGGCAGGGGCTTTGCAGACCCCCTTTCATTTGACAGTGCCCATCTCATCTTTCTTCACAAGGAAAGAGTTCAAGGACCAAAATTTTAGTGAGTTCTTACAGTGCAGAGACTAAGAAGGAAAAATTCAAGACCTGTAGTTGGCAGTATCCAACTAAACCCAAATGTCTCATGAG